GTGTGTGAGTGTGTGTGTGTGTGTGTGTGAGTTACAGTTGACAGACGGTTGCTCTGACGCCTGTAAGTCAGTGTGAGTTCATGCCACTCTATTATCTCACATAGACGTGCTTTTTTTAATACAATTAATACATTTATTTGTCAATCCCAGAATGACTGGAACAAACTCAGTGAATAAAGCCAGAGTAAAAATGTCCAAAAATAATTCAGTCTAGCCAAATATTGATTACATTACTCAATATATGTGCATGCTGTGTGTTTTTTATGCTTGAGTGTCAACACGTTAAGTCACATTTATTTATAGTGTTTTATATAATACAGATAATTTCAATGCATCATAGATATAAACAATAAATAATAAATAACAGTGTTAACACTGTAAAATTAATCAATTATGAAAAATTAACTTTTAAAAAATTAACTTAGCGGTGCTTCTTACTTTTTTGATCCCAGTGTACCTGTACTATAATGTACCTGTGCAAATGGCAATAAATCTCAAATCAAATCAAGATATATAAATGAAAGCACACACACTGCACTGTGCTGTTTTACTACAAGGAATTAAATATATCAGAATTAAGAAGCAATATAATTTACAATCTAGAAGTTATGGACGTCTGGCCGAAATAATATTACAGACATTTAATATGTTTAAAATGACACTTTTTTTATCCTATATTCTCAACATATTGAATATATATTGCTATAATAGTGATTGCATTGTGCATGGAAAAAAAGTACTGACTGCTAAGTTTTGTTCAGCAAGCACCGAGACGGTGACATATGGCATCTCTCTCTCTCTCTCTCTCTCTCTCTCTCTCTCTGTGCGGCTTTTTCTCCATGTCCAATCACATTTCCAATTGCCTCAACAACTTGAAGCACACACGAGTGAAAAACTGATTTCTCAAGCTCTCAACATCTCGGCTCAAGATGAGTGTCCCTCTCTCTCTGCTGGAGCTCCTCCACTCGAGAGCCAGTGATTAAAATGTGACCCTTGACTGGGGGAGGTTTGGGGGGTGGATGGCACATCGAGGATCTCATTAGCATCGCCCCGCTATTGACACTCGGAGCAGGGCCAGAAAAGTTGGTGTAAGGAGTAAATATGTGGTTTGTTTTTTGCCGGCTGTCTTTGTAGAGGAGCTCTTGTGGACTGAGAGGCTCTTCTTTACCGGCGGAGCGACGAGACGGGCATAAAACACCTTCTTTCGTCATGCTAATTTATTCAAGTGCCAGAGGTTATGAATGTCTATTCAGATGTGATCACCTACAGTCATAATGGAGAGATTAAAATGCAAAAAGAGCGAAAACCCTCGACGTTTTTGGATAAACGGAAGCGTGTGTATCTGGCAGGTGTGAGCCGCTTCACCTCAAACACACACACACACACACACACACAGATGCTTCTTTCTCCTCCAGTAACCCAGAGCACTCAGATGGCACTTCCACCAGAGCAGCCCAAAGACATTTGGAGAGTTCTCTTCAAAGCGGCTCGGATTATATCCGCACACACTGTCCTGAGGGAAACCTTTGAAGGAAACGTCGAGCCGTGACGCTGCCGGCCACCGCAGGATGTTTTGTTTGTTTGTCTAAACCTATTTCACACAGACGGTTTGTCATCGAGCTGGTGGGTCTCGCACAAACGCCGCGGACGCGAGAACCGACAATTTAAACCGGCATAATCTGCGATATGATCACAAACCCCGTCGCTTTAGACTGTGTTTTGTTCAGTAGTGCGCGTGTAATAATGTCTATGAGGGGAAAAGGTCATGAGACGAGAATACTGAGGCTGATTGTAGATTGTGTTATATTATAAACCATATAAGTGAGATCTATATATATATATATAGCCTATATGATATATATACAGTAAACCATATAAGTGAGATCTATCTATATATATATATATATATAGCCTATATGATATATATAAACCATATAAGTGAAGGAATTGCAACTAGGGCTGTTTGATTCCAAAATTTTTGGAATCGAGTCCGATTCCGATTCCTGGTTCTGGAATCGCTTTGCTTCGATCCCAAGAATCGATTCCTCACTGTTGTTTTCGATTCTTGTTTTTTTTAGATTGAAGGAACCTAATCTCACCATGACTGCAGGATAAAGGTCGTAGAAAGTATCCTTCTCATAATATGAAGCTTTATTTGTAAAAAAATTACGATACATAAATTGTAATTTTGTCTGCTTTGCCTGTGAAATTAGTCATAGCCAACAGCTCAGCAGGGACATGCGTTTATTGCATTAATTGAACAACACATGAAGTGTCTAAAATAAATGTGCACAGTTCAGCTTAATGATGAAGTTTACTTTGACTGTATGCTTTGCACAAAATTAACAAACTGTACACTGAAACAAAATATCCAGAACATTAACAATAACTGATAGAGCTCGTGGTTTATCTGTCAATCAGATGTGCTCTCGGCCACTGATCTATGCTCGTGACGTTTGCTTTTATAATTATCATTGGCTGATAGAAATGTTTTAAGATCAAGACCCTCGATCACATCATGATCTATTCTGTCGTGCAGAGCTCAAAATTGTGGACAAGCCAGTTCCATCGTAAAATAACCTCTGAATCTTTTTTTTTTTGAACTGGGTCATTAAACCAATCTATCCGCATCAGGAAACTAATCAGACTTCTAATCACTTTTCGCAAGCATGAGGGAGGCGAATGTTAATAAAAATATAAAAATGAAAATAATCTTTTATCTCACAACACTCGTAATTATGGTTTTTCGCGAGCATGAGGGAGGTGAATGGTGCTTCTCAAACGGAAGGCTGCATCCTAAAATTCAGTTTCAGAATCGACTCTCGGAATCGATTCCCAGTCCCAATTGCAACGGAAAAGTAGAGCTGTCAAATAATAATTGTATAAATAATTACATATTTATAATTTATTTGTAATGTTTATGAAAACATCACAAAGTCAACACCCCAAAAATATTAATAAATCATTAAAATAAATTAATAAGTTAGATTCTGACAATCATACAACATATTGCACAATCATTGTTAATGTACAAGAGCAAGCATGCAGGTTCTGGAGGGACTGGGACAAGTGTAAATTTATTTACTGTGACTAAGTATTTTCTGTTGAAACAATAAGCTGGAGCAGGACATGCCAAAGGTCTTCTTTCTTTTTGAAATTTTAAGTAGTTTTTAGCTTAATGTATTAATAGCTATCAATATTTGTGGTCCGTTTTGCCAGAATTGTATGTATTGAAACTTCTAAAATAATATATTGTCACCTTTAAGAAGTTCATTGAATGAGCTCAAAGTTTAGAGATATCAACTTGAAGCCACAAAATTGTATTTTGTATTCTGATCAAAAAAATGCAACCTTGGTGAGAATAAAATCTTATCAACCTCAAACAGTAGTGCACATGTGATCAATCAACACATGTGCACTACTTGTGCACTATTTTGAGCTTAAAGTTTACAGACATCAACAACAAGCCACAAAGTCACATTCATGCAATCTTTGACTGTCATGAATATAATGTCACTGTGTGTGTGTGTGTGTGTGCGTGCGTGCGAGCGAGTGTGAGTGAGTGAGTGAGTGAGCGAGAGTGTGTATGTGTGAGTGAGTGTGTGTGTGTGTGTGTGTGTGTGTGTGTGGCCGAACACAGAGCGGCGTTTGACTTCCATCAGCCACAATAAAGGATGAGCCGGTCTCTGACCCGGCAGCCCTGCGTGATTCCAGCAGATGAGGAGTGACACGCGGTTCAGAGGTTAATTTGTGTAACAGCCGAATTTGCATACAAATGACAAATGACAGAATTTTTCTCTCGCCAAACGTTCAATGTCAAGCACATGAAGAGCACCGTGGGCTCCCGCTGCCTCGGCCGAACCTCTGAAGTTGGGGGACCTTGTTTCACATTAATCTCAAGCGCAGGTCAGCGACTTCATTTGCTAAACTTTATCACAGTTTTTGTCCTGCTCGCGCTCTCTTTGTAGCGGCTTCTCATTGCCTCTCTACAGACGGAGAGGATAAGCGTTTTAAAGACCACAAAGACTCTGTTCTTTTTGCTCTGAAGCCATAAATGAATTACTGTGGGTGGAAATATACCCAGCGCCGCAGAATTCAGCCTCTCTCTCTCTCTCTCTCTCAACACACCATAACTTCTTAAGAGATTTCCGCCCAAACCAGCTCTCCAGTTCTCCCTTGGTGTGACTGGATTGATTGTTTTTCTAATCCAGGGAAAATTACTCGCTAAAAGGGTCATATAATCACTGCCAAACGTGTGGCGGGCTAAACTCGAAGTGACTTTGTTCCTTCGTTCATATTTGTGTGCTTGTGTGAACTCACTTTTCTCATTTTCTACTGTTTGACTGTCTCAGTTCTGCAGTGAAACTCTGAACCCACGGGACGCTGAAAGGAACGGATCAAGAAAACAAGTGAAAAAATCCCATCAAACAAGGACCCGAGTCATATCTACAGACAGAAGATCAGAGAGAGACAGAGCAAGAAAACACCTAGAAACTGCACAGAACATCTGTTTTTGTCATCACTTAAGAAATGTAGGTAACACTTTAGTTTAGGGAGCAATTCTCACTATTAACTAGTTGCTTATTAGCATGCACTAGCATATGGCTGTTCATCAGTACTTATAAAGCACATATTAATGCCTTATTCTGCATGAGCATTTTCTACATCCTTTAATCCACCCCATACCTAAACCTAACAGCTACCTGACTAACTATTAATAACAGCAAATTAGGAGTTTATTGAGGCAAAAGTCATAGTTAATAATGGGAATTGATCCCCAAACTAAAGTGTGACTGAAATTTCAAATTAAAGTTTTGACTTATTAACAGATTATTCAGGATTCAAAAAAGTAACAGTGATGATGTTATTGAATTCAGACCTATTTGCATATTGAACTGTGATTGGCCTTTTCTTTCTTGCTGTTATTCAATCATCTATAGCCATCGTCAGTGACTGTGATTGTGAACCACTAGTTTGACTACCGTTTATTGCATGCATTGCTGATAAACACTTGATTTCAGATCTCACCCCAGAATCAAACACAGAATCACAGACTAAAGCCGTGGTCTTATTAGTAAAATTGCAGCTAACTTGTATGTGCAAAAACAAGTCCATTGTCAATAGTGTAGTGAAATATGAACATAGAAGTTAATTTCAATCCAAGCAGATTTCAGTTGGTCAACTTGGCAAATCTAGGCAAAAAAGTTGATTGTGAGCAAAGTCTGCATGGTAAACTACAGATTGTGCTCCTGCTGCTATTAAAATGATTGAATTTCTCCCACAAAATTTCACAGAATGCTATCACACCTTAACACTGGCTTGGCTTGTTAAAAGTCAGTTTGTTAAAATAAGCTCCAGAAACAAGTTTTCATAATTTGGTCACAAATTAACTTAATGTTCAATCCATTTAAATTTTTAACATTTTGTGCTGGGACTAAATTAATCATTTTTGTTGACATAACTAACTGTTCAGTGTATCAGTAGGGACTGCATTAGGAGAATATATGTTGAAATGAAGTGTAATTTTATGCATTTTGTTTTTTTGAGTGTCAGTATATTAATTTATGTGATTTAGAAAAGTACACGGGTAACTTAAATCTATTAATTTGGTTCAGCAACACATTAGTTGTTTTAGTCTTGTTGTAAAGACCAAAACTCAACATGTTTAAACGTTTTCCTTAATTTAATTGTTCATTGAACAAACTCACCGTAAACTTGAACAGAGATTCAATGCAGCAAATGCACATCTACTGTTTGATCAACTTTGAAAGTTTGTGGCTGGGCTTTTTTTACAGGCAACATCCACGTTAAACCCTCGAAGAAGCGCCACTAATCATCAGCGGAGGGTCTTTGTTTTTAATTAGAGATGTTGAAACGCTCTTCTGCTGAGACAGAGTTTCGTACGCAGCGGCTTGCGTGAGACGATAACACTGACGTCTCACTTTTGTAGGATTAGTTGGATTGATTTTTCAAGAGCGTTGGGAACAGAAGAAGAAAAGAGGACTATCATATTAGACTCTAAAGTGTTATTATGAAAAATAAATTATGATTGATTGGTGCGGTAAACATTAGGGGCCCCTGGGTAGCGTCCACTTCATTCTGGCAATCAGATCAACATCAATTTCCAATATCATTGTAAAAGTGTAAACAGACTCTTATAAACACTCTCTCTGAGAGAAAGTTTTGGAGAAGTAGCGCTTCTTGCGATCTGTTGTGTGGATCTTTATGCAGAATAGCAGCCGCGATTCAAAGCCTTCATCCCCGTGAGCAGGTATTGATCTTCTCAGCATCTTTGATCGCAGATCTCACCTGTCTGGGATCATAAAAACTCAACAGCCTCCGCTGACCTGTGGACAGAGATTAGCACACGTAACTAACCCGCGTTAATGAGCTATAGGTGCTAATGCGAGAGGGGATCTGTCTAATTAACTCAGATCAAAGACAGGAGCGTAATCCCTAAACAAACCTGCCGATCGGAATACGCTATGAGACAGAGCGAGACTTCAAACAGGACCGGGAAAAAAACAGACCGGCTGAACTTTTTTTTCAGAACAACTTGTACTTTTTAATCATATGCGTGCATTGATATTTCAGCGTTCAGAGGGGATGAGCATTACCGCTCCTGACAACCTGAAAACTCTGCAAACATGCAGTGAAATGTGAGCTTGCAGACAGAAGAACCGACAAACCCCAATTAACTCATATATCAAGCAAACACTTGCTTAGTTTTGGCATACTGGAGTACACTTATTAAATTTGAAGGTGGGGGATTTTGACCTGAACCAATAAGAAACCACCTAGCAACCACATACTGCAAATCAGTTTTGCAAACATTGCATCACCTAATAGTGACTTTGCGCAGGCAAACATTAGAAAAAAAAATATTACTATTAACCAATTTAATTCACCTTTGACACTTTTTTAAAGTTATTATTGCATCACTAATTTTATTTGTGAGCATGCATTCACAAACATATCAAAACCTGAACATGCTTGCATCCATACACACGCACACACATCTATTTCTGAGATATTTAATATTTCCTCTGCTCGGGTTCATGGGCCGAGGCCAGAAAATCGTGTTTCTCTAGTGTCCAGCTCTTGGGACAGCCACACCAAATGTGTAATTTCACAGCTCTAATGCACATTTGCACAGTGCACACCTTTCTCACAAACTCACTCACACTCACACTGACTGGGGTCATTCTCAAAATCACTACAGCCAATCAATTAGGCACAGCCGCTGAGAGCCGGCGGACACACACACCGCAGCCGCACACCTGCGA